TGGCATGTGGATTTTCAGGGTGAAGCGGCCGCCGGGTTCTCCGCCTGTCTTCAAGGCGCGTTACGTGGCTCGTGGCTTCAGTCAGCGGCAGGGGGTTGACTACTTTCAGACCTTCTCCCCCACCCCGAAGATGACCACTCTTCGGGTTCTGCTACACGTTGCTGCTCACCGTGACTACGAGCTGCACTCTCTCGACTTCAGCACAGCTTTCTTGCAGGGCAGCCTGCACGAGGAGATCTGGCTGCGTCGCCCACCTGGCTTCACTGGGTCCTTCCCTCCTGGTACCCAGTGGAGTCTCCGGCGTCCAGTCTACGGTCTCCGCCAGGCGCCACGTGAGTGGCACGACACACTGAGGACTACGCTCGCGGCACTTGGGTTTGCTCCTTCCACTGCCGACCCGTCGCTGTTTCTGCGCACCGACACCTCTCTGCCGCCGTTCTACATCCTCGTGTACGTCGACGACTTGGTCTTTGCCACAGCTGACACTGCTGGACTCGCCTACGTGAAGTCCGAGCTGCAGAAGAGACACACGTGCACTGACCTGGGTGAACTGCGCAGCTACCTTGGCTTGCAGATCACCCGGGACAGAGCACGCCGCACCATTACCCTGACTCAGTCACACATGGTGCAGCAGGTCCTTCAGCGCTTCGGCTTCACGTACTCCTCGCCTCAGGCCACTCCTCTGCCTACTCGCCACTCGCTCTCAGCTCTGCCTTCGGATGAGTCTGTAGAGTCGAGTGGCCCGTTTGCAGAGCTTGTTGGCTGCCTCATGTACCTGATGACCTGCACACGACCTGACCTCGCATACCCTCTTAGCATTCTCGCACGCTTTGTTGCTCCTGGGAGACACCGACCAGAGCACATGGCTGCAGCAAAGAGGGTGTTGCGCTACTTGTGCAGTACGTCGGGCATGGGGCTAGTGCTTGGAGGGCGCAGTCCAGTGGTCCTCACTGGGCACGCAGACGCTTCTTGGGCTGACGACCAGGCTACGCAGCGGTCGTCACAGGGTTACACCTTCAGCCTTGGTTCCGGCTCTGTCTCGTGGCGGGCTACCCGCTCGTCTTCTGTTCTCGGCTCCAGTTGTGAGGCTGAGATCTACGCTGGGGCTATGGCTGCACAGGAGTTACGCTGGCTCACCTACCTGCTGACCGACCTTGGAGAGCAGCCTCGTTCTCCTCCAGTCCTGTACGTAGACAACAAGGCCATGCTGGCCTTGTGTCGAGAGCAGCGACTGGAGCACAGAACGAAGCACATTGCTCTTCGCTACTTTCTTGCTCGTGAGCTACAGCAGCGTGGACAGCTGCGACTTGCGTACGTGGCCTCTGAGGCCAACACTGCTGATGTCTTCACCAAGGCACTTGCGCCTTGTGATCATCAGCGTTGCTGCACGCAGTTGGGTCTTGTGCCTGTCTTGCCTCACTTGCTCTCCTCTTGACCTTGCTTGTACTTTCGCATATATATACTCTTGCTCTTGTATATCTCTATATATGATCTTGCATGTGAACTGGCCTTGTGGCCTTTGAACTTGTGCTCGGAATGCGTGGTGACTTTGTGATCCACCCTGAGCTTTACTTTGCTTTGCTTGACTGGTCTTGTGACCCCTTGTTCTCCCCCACTTTGCCTATGGGGGTGTGTCAGAACTTATAGCTTACTTGTTTCTGTAGGCTATAGTGGGGTATCCCATAGGGGGTACAACCCAATTAGGGTTTCCTATTTGTACTCACTTCGTTCATAGTCATTCCATTCTCGTTCTTTGTTTTCACAAATCGGGTCCACGCCAACGACGGCCACAGCTACACAACGCCCGAAGACGAAGCCGCTGCAGCAATCTTGGAGCAGGACACAAGGGGGGATTCTGCATGGGAAAACCCGCGCAACGACAACGACGACGATGATGATTCCTCAGGAAGAGGAACAGGCGGAACAGGCGGAGACGGAACAGGCGGAAGTGGCACAGGCACAACACCGCCAGCACCTGAACCGGAGAGTGACGACGATGATGTGCAGGAAGTCATCCTGCAACGTCGCCACGACAGCACCATCTCAGGGCTGCAGCTACTCGGACTTCACACCGCAACCTCGCAGGCACCACGCATCATCGAGCCCCGAAACCCGCGCGAAGCACTCTCTGGACCACACAGCAAGGAGTGGCGTGAGGCGATGGACATGGAAATCAAGGCACTGGAGTCACGCGACACCTGGGTGCCCGTCGATCGCGCAGCGATCAAAGGCGCAAGAATCCTCTCGGGGAAGTGGGTCTTCCGCGTAAAAACCGCAGCGGATGGGACGATCGAGCGCTTCAAAGCGCGTTGGGTGGTTCGCGGATATGACCAGAGGCATGGGATCGACTTCGACCAGACGTTCGCCCCAGTCAGCCGCCACACCTCCGTCCGCATCCTGCTCGCCATCGCAGCTGCAAGGCACCTGCCACTACGTCAAATCGACGTGAAGAACGCGTTCCTGTACGCGTTAGTAGACGCCGTGATCTACCTGGAACAGCCACACACCTACGGCGAAGGAGACTTGCGCGTATGTCAGCTGCGCAAGTCACTCTACGGGATCAAGCAGGCCCCAAGGCTGTGGCAGCAGTACCTGCATAACATCCTGCTTGAAATCGGGTTCAAGCAAATGCCACACGATCCAGGGATGTACCGCCGCGATTTCTGCGGCGAATACATCCTCCTCACTGTGTACGTCGACGACCTGCTTTACACAGGCTCGAACAACGAGCTCCTCCAGCAGTTCGAGAAGGCTCTGGCGGGGCGCGCCGACATCATATGCAACTACGAGGTGAAGCAGTTCCTGGGCCTCAACATAACCTACGCACCTGAAGCCATTCACCTTTCAACGGCTAAGTACGCAGAGGAGTTAGGGAAGCGGTTCAATATTTCACCTGCACCTCTCTCAACTCCCTACCGAAACCCCGGACCGAACTACAAACCCAACGCCAAAGCCCTATCCTCCGCTGGGATTCGGACTTATCAAAAGCAGTTGGGATGCCTCCTCTTCGCCTCTATCACCTGCAGGCCAGACCTCTCGTACATCGCACGTCAGATTGCGCAGTACTCACGCAAACCAACGGCTGAAAATCTTCTGGACCTACAGCGCGCCCTCCAATACTTCGTTTCAACGCCCAAGATTGGGCTGCGTTACTCAACTGCACCAACCCCATCCTTCAATCTCACCGGCTATGTGGACGCCGATCACGGAGCAGATCCCGATAATTGACGGTCCAGGACTGGGTTCCTGTTCCGACTCGAGCCTACGGGACCAATCTCCTGGAATTCACAGAAGCAGGAGTTGGTTGCCCTGTCATCAGCCGAAGCGGAATTCATCGCAGCAACCGCAGCAGTTCGCGAAGGCCTCTATCTGCAGGAACTCCTGCAAGAGGCGAAAATTCCAGCTTCGCCGACATTTCGTCTTCACTGCGACAACTAGAGCGCGATTCGCATTGCGAACAAGCCTGGTTTCGTTAACCGCACCAAGCACATTGCGCTGCGGTACTTCTTCGTGAAAGACGAAGTGGACAAAGGCAAGGTCAACTTGACCTACTGCCCAACAGGTGACATGGCAGCAGACTTTCTCACGAAGCGGCTGCCACGTCAGCAGTATCAGCACTGCTCCGAACTCAGCGGCGTGGTCAAGCAGGTCAAGCCAAGCTACGGCCAGGAGTGAAGGGGGGTGTTACGAATAGTAATACCCGATATTACTATGCACTCCTCACCGTAGCAAGGAACACACGATATCGGGAATAAACGCAAGCGTCAGACGGTTGGAATTGAGTCAAAGAGTCGGACGGTTACAGCACATCTGAACCGTCGGAAGCAAACAGCATCGGACAGCTGCAGGCAGGATGGTTTTGGCGGGAACAGTTACGAAACTGTACGCGCCGAACGGTTGGGATGCAGTTGAATAAGGGAATGTACCCCTTAGAGTACATGGCTAGCTAGGACGTTTCAGATTCCCTTGTACTCATATTTATACCACTGTATTTGCATGTTTTCATTATCTCAAGCATTTTACATTCACTCTGCTATTGAGGTCAAGGGCCCACCAACACTACCTCACTGCGTGCGAACCTTCCAGAGTAGATCCTGGGCTACGATCAACTTCTGATCGCAGCAGGATCAACCCTAAACACGGGAAAGGGCATTGCTTTTAGGGTTGATGCCTCCCGAGTTGCATCCCTTTCTGATTGGGTTTTATTTTTTCTGCAGGTGTAGCGAACAGTGTTGCTCATATGGCAGAACAGTCGCCCGAATAAAACGAATTTTAGAGGAAAGAAAAGCGTGGTAAAATTCCGTTTTTGAATTCAACAGAACCGCGATTCTAGGGCAATATGTCAATACCTCCAAAACCGAGGTATCGACGGTTTTGCATACAATCGAATAGGGTTACCATACTATTTTGCATGCCTGTGATGTTGGCCCCATGAAGTATTCTCTCTCATTTAAGTACTCATTTTAGGCGTGGCATTGTTTGGTACTTGGAACGGATTGCCAGGCAAATAACTTCGCTGTGTGATCATCAGAGACACCCCCCTTCCTACCCCTATCGTAGCCCCGAGCTGAGGCCGTTGGGGAGGTCTAGAATCCAGCCAAATACGATAAGATTTTTTATGTATCATAAAAGCCCTGCCCTCCCTGCCCTTGCAGCAACTCAGGAAGGGCTTCCCTCCCTGCCCTTGCAACAACGGTACTTCAACAAGGAGGTTCTGATTCTGGTGTGTCGGTGTCAACAACATCCTCGCAAAGAGCAGAAAGCCAGACATCTAGCATGGCTAGCGTGACTGGCCAAGAGTAATGGGTGCTGTCAGTGCACCTGTCACCTCTAGGAAGGGTTAACGATTGAAGGTCGACGAAATGCCCAAACTTTGTCTCATCAGACACCCTGAAAAAAGAATGGCAGCAACACAGCAGGGAAAAAAAAAACATTCAGGCCTGAACATAAACACCTCAGACGAGTTAGTTGTAAAGTCTCTCTGACATGAGGTCTCTCACCTGGCTACATGGTCATCGAACGTGAACCCTCTGACGTTGTTGCTCTTATGGAGATATCTCTGCGGCTTCTTCTTCTCTTGCGCTGCCCAGATGCCAAAGAAAGTGACCCCGTCCGGATTGCGAACAACTGACTGGAGTGAAGGCAGAAACACTGACCCTGCAGCATAGTAGGGACATGTTGCACATAAGAGCCTTTTCTTAGGCACCTCAAAACAGCTCTTTTAACACCAGCTCTGCAGCATTGGTAGGGAGGGACAGGTTGGTCATAAATGCTATTTATATGGCCATGCTTGAAGTGTAATTATAGCATCAAAGCATGAACGAAGATAGAGAGGGTGCAGAAGGGCAAGATAGAAGAGGGACTCACTGAACGCCTCTGCCATTTCCGATGCATTACTCTTGCGTGTTATGTCATGCAGGCCAAAGGACACTGCCACTACGTCGAATGGCGCAAAGTGAGTGACAATGGGGCCGCCTGTGAGATTAGGGGCAGAGCGCCAGTCGTCAAAGACAGGGGCATCTGAATCCAGGTGCGTGGCATAGGTGAGGTTGAAGGTGAACGCACGGCCGCGGCGCCGCACTGGATGCACGATCACCCTGTTGCCGGGCAGGGCAGCAGGGGAGGGGAGAGGCATGCAGTGGCAGCGGCAAGTAGCAGTATGTAATAGCAGCAAAGCAATATGTGAGAGGCTAGCACTCTTATGAGATGCAGAGTGAGGCGGAATTGACAACAGAGCGCTCACTCGCAAGCAAGGGATGGAGACCACCGACAGAGGCAAGCCAAGGTAGATACATACAAGGCATGAGTATTAGTCCCCTAGTCCTGACCGACCGACGTCCCATTGGCAGAGAGCTGACTTTTGAGTCGACTCAAAAGTCAGCTCGCAAAGGTGAATACAGCGTCAAGTAAATACAAGTACGGGTATTAGTCCCAACCAACGTGCCAGTGGTAGGGAGGAGACGGCGAGGAGCATGTGCGCAGCAACTCCTGCAGAGGCACTCACTGCTGCATGTGCAATCACTGCTGCACTCACTGCTGCATGTGCACTCACTGCTGCATGTGCACTCACTGCTGCATGTGCACTCACTGCTGCATGTGCACTCACTGCTGCATGTGCACTCACTGCTGCATGTGCACTCACTGCTGCATGTGCACTCACTGCTGCATGTGCACTCACTGCTGCATGTGCACTCACTGCTGCATGTGCACTCACTGCTGCATGTGCACTCACTGCTGCAGGGCGAAGCCGCTCCAGAAGTGACCCCAGTAGGTGGTGCGGCCACAGAAGGTGCTGTAGTTGACAGCCAAGGCCATGCCCGAGCTGGGGTCCACTGGCGGGCCCTCCTTGAACACCACGTTCCTCACCCGCACTCGGTGCACCTCCTGCCACTCGGTGAGAGCGGGAGAGGCGTGGGACGAGGTCTGAGCACCGTTAACGGATATGAGCACATCAAACCGTTTCCCTCACCCTCCTTACCACCACGTTCCTAACCCACACTCGGTGCACCTCCTGCCACTCGTCACGTCACCAGCAGGTTAACAGGGTGGGTCAAGAGCACCCATAACGTGAAGGGAAAGTGGATGGGATGCATGGAAAGTTGAGAGCGGGAGAGGCGTGGGATGAGATCTGAACACCGTTGGGGGATATGAGCACATCAAAAGGTTTCCTCATCCTGACCTGCCCGCACCACCTCACCCTGAGCTACCCGCACCAAATCACCCTGACCTGCCCGCACCACCTCAACTCAAACCCTAAAAAGTAAACCCTAAACCACCTCACCCTGGGCTGGCGGCGGTAGCGCTTGAGGTAGCGGCAGCGCGTGCGGTAGTGCAGGAAGAGCTGCAGGTGGCCAAACAGGTACCGCATCTCCGAGTCCCCTGCATTGCACAGCACACGTGCAGCAAGGTGACTTTTGAGTCTCAAAAATCATCTCCCAGTCCCCTGCACACGTGGAGCAGCAGGCAGGCAGGCGGCGGTGGCACACAGCGCGGTGCCGTGGTGACTTGAAGGGCACTGGCACGTCACGGGTGCATCCACACCCACACCCACACCCACACCCACACCCACACCCACACCCACACCCACACCCACACCCACACTCGCACTGCACAGCACAGCACAGATGTGGACTCATGCCTGCACGAACGTGCATGCATGGTACAGGCATTGTGCATGCACGGGTGCATGGGTGCAGGACACGAGTAGATACCTATGGCTTTCCCGAAGCCAGCTGCATGCATGGTACAGGCTCTGTGCATAACACGACACGACATGGAGCAGGACACAGTAGGTGGGGTGTGGGTGGGCACGATGTGAGACCTAGAATGGAGTTTTTGGGACATTTCAAAACTCAGTAGGTGGGGTGGGGGTGGGCAGGGCAGGAGGCGAGACCTAGAATGAGGACGCTCTTGCCGTGCAGATGTTTCTGCACTTCCGCACGTGATACAACATGTGCAGGTTGCCATACCTAGAATGAGGACGCTCTTGCCGTGCAGGCAGCGCCCAATGCGTGCGGGCGTGATGGGGGCAGGCAGGCGGCAGGCCGTGGGGTGCCACGTGTCTCCTCGCCAGAAGCCATCATGTCGTGAGTCGCGCAGCAGACTGAATGTGCACCGCGGCAGGCTCTGCTCCTCGCTGCCACGCCGCACACACACAGCAGGGAGGGGCGGGCACGGGCCCGTGTGGGTTGGGAAATGAGTACCCGCCACCGAGTGTGCGGATAACGAAAGAAGGCACACTCAGTGGTGGGAGGGACGAAGGGAAGTGGGGTGGGTGGAGAGGAGAGAGAAAGGTTGAAGGGCGGGAGTGCATGCAGGGACACGAAGAGGGCATCCGGCACAAGCAGCGCATGGCATGTGCACCTCATTTGAGACATCTCAAAACCCAGCTTTTATCACGTGGCAAAAGGTTGAAGGGCGGGAATGCAGGGACACGAACAAAACACCCGCCACGGGCAGCGGAGCGCACCTCATTTGAGTCGAATCCGTGCCATTCTCCAAGGCATGGAGGGCGCTGGCAGCAGCGACGGTGATGTTGCGTTGAGCCACGACCTTGGACCTGCGAGCGACGTGCAGCAGTGGCCAGCACAGTTGCAAGAGGGCGGGCGCTCGCAGCACAGGTGGTTCATTCAAGGCACAGCAGGGCATGGGGAGGAGAGGGGGGGTGCACGGCAGGCAGTGGCACGGCAGGCAGTGGCACGGCAGGCAGTGGCACGGCAGGCAGTGGCACGGCAGGCAGTGGCACGGCAGGCAGTGGCACGGCAGGCAGTGGCACGGCAGGCAGTGGCACGGCAGGCAGTGGCACGGCAGGCAGTGGCACGGCAGGCAGTGGCACGGCAGGCAGTGGCACGGCAGGCAGTGGCACGGCAGGCAGTGGCACGGCGGGCAGTGGCACGGCAGGCAGTGGCACGGCAGGCAGTGGCACGGCAGGCAGTGGCACGGCAGGCAGTGGCACGGCGGGCAGTGGCACGGCAGGCAGCGGCACGGCACCTGAAGAAGCCGGAGGCGAGCTTGGGGTTGACGCTCTCGCGCAGCAAGAAGGCGTTGGTCCATGGCAGCGCCACCACCACCTCGTACACCCCATCACCGCCCTGCACCGTGTAGCACACCTGCTCTTGGCAGCACACGCGCGCACACACAGAGGTTGATGGGTGCATGTGATGGGTGATCAAGAGCCAGTGGCAGTGGCAGGGCAGTGGCACTGCGCCCAGGGCAGTGGCACTGCGCCCAGGGCAGTGGCACTGCGCCCAGGGCAGTGGCACTGCGCCCAGGGCAGTGGCACTGCGCCCAGGGCAGTGGCACTGCGCCCAGGGCAGTGGCACTGCGCCCAGGGCAGTGGCACTGCGCCCAGGGCAGTGGCACTGCGCCCAGGGCAGTGGCACTGCGCCCAGGGCAGTGGCACTGCGCCCAGGGCAGTGGCACTGCGCCCAGGGCAGTGGCACTGCGCCCAGGGCAGTGGCACTGCGCCCAGGGCAATGGCACTGCGCCCAGGGCAGTGGCACTGCGCCCAGGGCAGTGGCACTGCGCCCAGGGCAGTGGCACTGTGCCCAGGGCAATGGCACTGCGCCCAGGGCAATGGCACTGCGCCCAGGGCAGTGGCACTGCGCCCAGGGCAGTGGCACTGCGCCCAGGGCAGTGGCACTGCGCCCAGGGCAGTGGCACTGCGCCCAGGGCAGTGGCACTGCGCCCAGGGCAGTGGCACTGCGCCCAGGGCAGTGGAACTGCGCCCAGGGCAGTGGCACTGCGCCCAGGGCAGTGGCACTGCGCCCAGGGCAGTGGCACTGCGCCCAGGGCAGTGGCACTGCGCCCAGGGCAGTGTGATCAAGAGTGAGTGGCAGGGCGCAGGAGCAAACGGGTGAGCGTGCGCCGTGAAAGAAAGGGTGTACCATTGCTGGCATGGCATTGCACGCATGGCACAGCACACACCATACACGCAGTTTGCAGTGGCATGTTTCGTGGTTGGACACGCAGTTTGCAGAAGGAGCACGTGGGTGTGATTGGCAAGGACGTGGGGGGGGGAGCGCCCACCTGGTGCGAGCTGGACTCGGGCAGGTACTGCACTCGCGGCGCCTGCACTTGAGCCTCTGCTGCCTCGTCCCCGTCGTTGGTGGCAACGCGGCGCATGCTTGCCACTAAGAAGGCGCGCTGCCTGCCCACCCCCCACACGCACGCCCCACGCACGCACGCACAGCACACGCACGCCCCGCGCGCGCACTCCGTGCGCATGCACACCCCGCGCACGCAAGGCGAGACATGCAGGAGAAGGTGGGTTGGCATGGCATAAGGCGGACATCATATCCCCAAGACAGACCATCTGTGACCCGCCCACAGCATGAATAGAGAAGGAAAGGTGCGCCCCACAGCATGAATAGAGAAGGAAAGGTGCGCCCCACAGCATGAATAGAGAAGGAAAGGTGCGCCCCACAGCATGAATAGAGAAGGAAAGGTGCGCCCCACAGCTGCCAGGCCACTAGCGGCAAGGCCTTGCGCGCATGGACCAGAGCATGAATAGAGAAGGAAAGTTGGATGAACGAGGAGGTGAGGTGAGTCGTACCTGCAACCACGGTCGAATGGCCCGCCTTGCACATCAAAAGCTGCACGGGATGGGATGGGATGGGATGGGATGGGATGGGATGGGATGGGATGGGATGCACAAGCCGGTGGGCAACATGGTATGTGGCGCAGCCAGTCAGATCACCAACGGCAGGCATCGCCAACAGGGAACACCTAGAGTGTGACACACAGCAATGAGAGAGCGCAGGCAGCGGAAGGTGGTACACAGTGGATGGACATGGACGCACAGGATGGAACACAGTGGGTGCTGTAGCCGCACCTTGGCTTTTGAGTCGACTCAAGAGTCACCTCGCATGCTGTGGCCTGGCCGCACCTTGGATTCGGAAGCACGCATGCGATGAGACGTGATAAAAGAAAGCTTTCGAGGATTTTGGGTTTAAGGTTCCTCAAACGCTCTCTTTTTTATCACGAGGAAAAAAGTGGATGGATACTGTGGCCGTGGCCTGGCCGCACCTTGGATTTGGAAGCACGCGGGCTGGAATGGCGTGGCGGGGCCATCCCACCCGTCGCCGCTGACGTTGACGTGCGAGAACCCTAAGTCGGCAGGATCCGATCCCTCGTCGGCACTCGTGTCAGCGTAAGCGCCGGCCTGACTGCAGATGTTGTTGGGGTCGAAGGAGGAAAGCGACGCGGACGCGGACGCGGACGCGGACGGGGAAGACGCGCTGCTTTTGAGACGCCTCAAAAGCGAGGCGGACGCGGAAGTAGACGCGCTGCTGCTGCTGCTAGGTGCTGAACCCGCAGCGTCTAGAGCAATGCCTACTAGCAGAGCCTGTGGCGCGCTGGCGCTGGGTGATTTGACATCGGCCCGAGAACTACTAGAAGCAAGTGTGGAGGTAGTAGAAGAGACGGTGGAGCTGGAGAAGACCCATACTCGGCAGACGAGGAGGGCGCAGACGAGGAGACAGAGACATGAGAGCGCAATTCGACGACGGAGAGCCATGATGGCATCGGAGTCGTCCAGCTGTGGTCGGCAGGGCGCGCGGCAGGTGGGGGCGAGTGGAACGTGCGCTGCTAGCACGCGAGGTGCGTACGAGTGGGAGGCTGCTGGCGGCTGATTCGTGTTGGCGGCTGATTCGTACTGCCAGCTAGCTGTACCGGCGGCTGCTAGCGCTGCTGTGAGCGGCGCGCGGCGGGATCAGTGCTGCGCGTGGCGGGCGGGAGGTGGTAGCCGGCGCGCACTGGCGACTGGCGTGCGTCAGTGCGGCTGCTGCCGTGCGCTGCAGTGCGTGCGCTGCGCGCGCGGCTACTGGCTGCGCGTCGCGCGCGCGCTACTGGCTGCGCGTCGCGCGCGCGCTACTGCGTGCGCGCGGAGGCTTCGCGCGCGCGGCTACTGCTGGCGCATCGCGCGCCGGCGGCATGCGGGCTGTGCGCTGGTTGCGCGCGGATGCAGACTACGCGCGCGTGGGTGCAGGCTGGCGCTCGCGCTATGCAGTGGCGGGACGCGCTGCCTGTGGGCAATTGGCTGGCTTGAGAGGGAGCTGGCTGGAGAGGGAGCTGGCTGGAGAGGGAGCTGGCTGGCGACGAGGTAATCGACTGGCTGGCTGGCTAGGAGGTAAAAGGAGCCAGTCTACACCCTAGGAACGTGCCTACACGATGATACCATCTCAAGATCGCGGATGTCGCTGCCTAGGCGCGGGCCTCGCTGTGTGGGCGCTCCCACGCGCGAATGCTGCTTGGGCGCGGATCTCGCTGCTACGGCGCGGATTTCGCTGCTGCGGCGCGAATTTCGCTGCTACGGCGTGGATTTCGCTGCCTAACTCCGCGCTGCTACCTGCAGTTCGCGGGCTGAGTACTAGCGGGAAACGCGCTGCTGCCTGCGGATTGACTAGGTGACTTTCGAGCCGAGAGATATTACCGTATGTGCCCTCTAATACATAACTCACTGCAGCCTAACATATCTAAAAAATATATAAGCATAACTTCACATTTAGCATAGAGAAACGTATGCCCTATTTCATTTTCGCTGTAGTACATTAGATTATTATAGAACTTATACATCCTAACTCGTGTACGCGCATGTGTCCATTGTAACAAGCAAACCCATTTATAAGAAAAACTTAAAGACACCCCTTTCTTCAATTTGACACTGCCTCATATCCAGGCATTGGCGGTGGTGTATAGCTCCCTATAAATACATAATGATAAGGCTTTCTATACTGGGAATGTAACCATTACGCAACCCTAGTACCCTACTGACGTTTACACCGAATCTTGTCGTTTCACTCATTTCTTCTCAACCTCATGTTCTAAAATCAGGTTCTCCGGTTACTGTATATAGACTGCCATGCTCCAGATGTTGCCAACTGTGCTATGAGCTGGCGACTTGTGAACTGCCATACTGGTGGTGCTGCCGCAGGCAACATACAGACAGAATCTACAGATCCATCAAGCTGGCCTCTCCCATTCACATGTTCAGCAACACGAGCATGCTCACATGGCCATCTATCGCCTGTCAGGGGGCAAAGGAAGCTAAGAGTGGCATGCTGTGCTCGGCCCGCATGGTGCTGCTTGCAATGTTTCAAGCCGTCTCATTGCCACTCATCTGCATGCCTACACAGCACACCCCCATAAATCACCCGTCAAGTGGGAATGGAAGGCAAGAGTGGCATGGTGCTGCCACTCTACATAATTACCCTCATCAGTTGCCCGTCAAGTGGCAAAGGAAGCCGAGACTGGCATGTTGTGCACAGCCCGCATAGTGCTGCTGCAGAGCCAGTTTCATCCACACTTTTGAAAAGAAACGAGGCTTATCCAAGCCGTCAAGTGCCAAATAAAGCTGAGAGTGGCATGTTGTGCAGGGCCCTCATGGTGCTGCTATAGATCTGTAATGCCATACTCAATCTACAATCAGCCATCAACAAGCCATCGATCACCCGTCAAATTGCAAAGGAAGCTGAGAGTGGCATGCTGTGCACAACCCACTTCCCTTCCCATCATTCAGCCTAAAATCTACCATCAAGTGGCAAAGGAAGCTGAGAGTGGCAGGTTGTGCACGGCCCGCATGGTGCTGCTGGCAACATCCAGCAGCTGAAGCCACTCGTCCGCCCCATCCACTAGATTCTGAACCAGGACAAACGGTGGCACAAGGAGCATGGGAATGGGGAGGAAACAGGGGTAGACGTGGGTTTGCTTTGGCAAAGGAAGCTGAGAGTGGCATGTTGTGCACGGCTCTCATGGTGTTGCTTGTAACATCCAGCAGCTGAAGCCGCTCGTTCGGCCCATCAACTAAATTCTGAACCAGGACAAACAGTGGCACAAGGAAAGGGGAGCTTGCCACAACATTCCACAGACACAAAAGTCAAAAGTCGGAGTACGGAAGGATGAAACCTTGTATGGCGTACAAGATCCCAGGAGGGCAGTACCTTATAAGGTGGTCAACACCCTACGAATGCTGTACCTTGTAAGGCGTACAAGACACCAGGATCCCAGAGGTGTGGTGTGGTGTCTTGTAGGGTGTACAAGTTCCCAAGCAACGCAGTTACCTTGTCAGCGGCGGCAATGGTGGCACAGATGCGCGCCTTCTGCTCGTCTGTGAGGTCGTCTGCTGCCGTGGCTGCATCAAATAGCTGAGGGTGCAGCGAAGGAAAGGTGGGCGGTAAACGAAGGGGGGAGTAAGAAGCCAAATGTGTGGGCGTGACCTTCTGCTCGTCTGTGAGGTCGTCTGCTGCCGTGGCTGCATCAAATAGCTGAGAGGGAAAGGTGGGCAGTAAGATACGGGTTGGGGGAATTTGTATGGTCATGGCCTTCTGCTCGTCTGTGAGGTCGTCTGCTGCTGTGGCTGCATCAAATAGCTGGAAGGGAAGTAAGACCAATGGGTATGCCAAGGGAAAGTGGAAGGTGGGAGGTACGATACTGAGATGAGAAAAAGAAACGGACAGCCTTGAATTCTGCATTCAGAGGTAGCTGGATGGAAGAGAGAGACAAGTCTTGAGGCGCCTAATAAATCAGTGGGTGGTGACGCTGCATGCAGAGGCAGCTGCATGGAAGAGAGAGAGAAAAAGAGAGGCGGGAGGGGGACATGGCTAGTGAAAACAAGAGGAATTGTGAAGTGAGAGCTGCCTTTGCAGAGCAGGTGAGCGTCTTTGTAGTACCTGGGAGAGGATTTGTGCACCAGGCATGAGGAGGAGCATGGCACTCCAGCCAACAGCAGCACCGGCAACGCGAACAGCAGCACATGGCTCGCCTTCAGCAGCACATGGCTCGCCTTCAGCTGTTTTTCGCGTGGCTGGTGCTGCTGTTGGCGGGAGTGCCGTGCTCCTCCTCATACCTGGGTTAACGTCACGCTAGCAATAGCAGCAGTGACGACAGACTGGAAGACCGCAGAGACAGTGGTGGTGGTAACATCACCTTGTGGTGAAAAGGGTGGTGGCAGCATTACTGTGTAACCTTAATAGGTAGTAACTCGAGAAGCTGTATTACCTGGGAAAGAATTTGCGCAGCAGGGTAACCATCAGCAGCAGCAGCGGTGACAGTCACATGAATTGAGGCAACCATGGTTGTAGGCTACACTAGGATGTAAATTCGTAACACCTGAGAGAGTATTTGTGCAGCAGGGTTACCGTCGGCAATAGCAGCAGTGACAGCAGACTCAAAAGAGGCATATTCTTTGGTGGAGCAGACTCGACAGCGGCGAACACACCAATGGTAATTCTACATTGTACTACCTGGGAGAGTATTTGTGCAGCCGGGTAACCGTCAGCAACAGCAGCTGTGACGGCAGACTGGCAGCAAAGAAAGTGGCGGTAACTTTGTAACACATGAAGATGTAAATTCTGGTACCCTTGTAACCTTTGAAAATGTGGTACCTGGGAAAGTATTTGCGCAGCGGGCAACCGTCAGCAACAGCAGCAGTGATGGCAGACTGGCAGCAAAGAAAGTGGTGGTAACTTTGTAACACGCGGAGATGAGAATTCTGGTAATCTTGTAACCTGTGAATTGTGGTACCTGGGAGAGTATTTGCGCAGCAGGGTAACCGTCAGCAACAGCAGCAGTGACAGCAGACTGAACAGCTTCAAAAGCACCTCCCCTGCAGGCCTCGAGGATGGAGGTGACAACTGAGGCAGGCACCACCTGCACACAAAGGGAGCGAAGGAGGGCAGGCAGGTTTGGTGCTCGGGACAAAAGGAAGGGAAGGAGGGAGGTGACAACTGAGGCAGGCACCACCTGCACACAAAGGGCGAGGGAGAAATGGTGGGTGGATGGGAAAAAAACCGGGACAAGGGAAATTACTTGCAATGGGTGACAACTGATGCAGTCATGATCTGCATGGCGAGAGAGAGGAGACCAGCAGAAAGAATGCAGTGTGAAAAGGAAGGTGACAGATGGGGAGGATGGGAGGAAAGAAGGGAGGAGGGGAAGAAGGAAGAAAGTGTGGAGGAGAGTACACGCCAAAGAAGGCAGATTTATCAAGGGAAGGTGACATCTGAGGCAGGTATGAACTGGTGGAATGAGGCTGTTAACAAACATGTGCTATATTATATATAAACTTGCCAATCTGCTGTGTGGGTGTGAATCTGTCAATTCTGGTTGGATCCCGATTCTATTGTTTCCTTTCTTTTCTTCAACCCACTTCCGTTTGCTTCACACCTCCAGCAACACCGTGGTAGGGAAGTATTTCGGCGCGTATGCATAGCAACAGCAAAAAGAACTGCATGATTACATACCCCTGACACTTCAATGATGTGTTGCGCTGAGATGGACGAGCCGTACAGCCTGGCTGCACTCTGCGATCAAGCAAGGCAAGGTGGGAGGATGGGAGAGGTGGCAGGGCAGAAGAGACACGAGACAGGGAAGGGACGGTCAGAGTGATATTAGCGATGCCTGAATTCACCCTCTCACACCCAATTCCCAGCTCATGTCAAGTCGTGAGCCGTGACACCATCACGCGCACACCATCCCTCCTCCACTCCACCCCACTCCACTCCTCTACCCTGCACCCACCTGCAGGGTCGTGATGGCTCGCCTGTGATCGCCTTCTGACTCCCAATTCCCAGATCATGATGTGAAGTCTGGAGACTACTCAAATCACCAACATTCTTACGGAATCATGCGAACATCTCATATCATCCCTCCCTTCTGCACACCCATACCTACCTGCAGTGTTGTGATGGCTCGCCTGAGATCGCCCTCCGACACTTGGCTCAGCGCCTCAAAGGCCTGCAGCATACGCGACAGATGGAATGTAACAGGGAAAAAAGGCAATAATGGCAATGTTATGTACATAGAATTTCACAGCCTCAGTAGCACAGTGGTAGTGCGTTCGCTTCGTAAGCGAAAGGTCCAGAGTTCAATCCTCTGCTGAGGCAATTTTTCGAGCATTTACATTTCTACCACTTATCCCTTCCACCCTACCCTGGCATTATCTTCATGCCCCCCTCTACATGTTTTAATATTTTTCTCCTCCCTACTCTGAGCCTGTCAGTCATATCTTCTCCCCAACAACACTCACCCGGGAGGCAGTCAGCTGTATTGAGAGCCCAGCTTGAATGGGACTGTGATGATTCCATTTCACCTTTTGTCTGGTTTATCAGTTACCTCTTGTGCCAGCCCAGCAGCTCAGCAGCCCAGAAGCCCAGAAGCCCAGAAGCCCACGTGGCAGGCACACACCTCATCTGAGAGTGCAGATCTTATGGGAGCACAATGTTTGCACTCCACTGTGTGTCTGAGTCACCCTCTCGCCCCACCACCAACCCACCCTCGAATCCGAAAGCGTTACGTGTTCACAGTTGGCGATGTGGCGGAGCCTGCCAATCATCACCTGCTCCACCAGCACCTCACTCCACCTCAACCCACCGCAGCCCACCTCGCCTCACCTCCTCTAACAGCGTTAGGTGTTCGCAGTTGGCTGTCTCAGCTGGTCAGATCAGACATCACCTGGCCCAGCAGCAGCCAACCTCAAGTGCAAGGTACCAGCAATGCATGAATGCAGAGTGCAGCTTACCTCCTCTGAGAGCTTGAGGTGTTCACAGTCCGTAATGTGTCTCAGCTGGTCAGTCATCACCTGCCCCACCAGCACCAGGTCACCACTGTGAACAGCAAGTGTAACGCACCTCATCACTCAGCAACAGGTGCTCGCAATCCGCAATGTGGCGCAGCCGGTTCGTCATCGCCTGCCCCACCAGCGGCTTACATCCCATCACAGAGTGCAACTTACCTCCTCTGAGAGAGTGAGGTGCTCGCAGTCCGCAATGTGTCTGAGCCGGTCAGTCATCACCTGCCCCACCAGCGGTCGGAATCGGAACTTGGCGCATCGGGAGGCCAGCGGCTCGATGATCCTGATGTGCGTTGGTTGGGGGCAGTGGCAGGTGGAGAGAAGGATTTATTGCAGTGGAAAAGCGTCATAGCTCTACAGAGAACACATAGAAATCAGAACTCGCTGCACTGAGAGGCCAGCGGCTCGATGATCCTGATGTGCGTTGGTTGGGGGCAGTGGGAATGACATGGGTTCAGGGGAAAGGGGAGGTGATACAAGTTTAGGCGAGCGAAAAGGCAGCACACATCACAACACACAGCACGGAGGAATCGGAAAGAAGAATGGCACGGCAGGAGGTGAATGGCTCAATGATTCTGATTGGCGTTGGTTGAGAGATAGTAAGGGAGGGAGATAGTATCAGCTCAGGCAGTGAAAGACCAACACCGCATGAAGCAAAGCCGGAAACAGCTTCTTTTAACTTCAAGTGTGGAAGCATAGCAGTCATTCCACATTTTTTCTCTCTCCCCTAAGCACCTTTAAGAATGGGAGTGACTTGATGTTGCAGGCTGATTCTAAGAATTCTCAAATTAACCTACATTTAGATGGTAAGAGTGGACAATTCTTGCCCACCAAGGTACAGAGCAGTTACCTGCTGATGTAGTTGCAGATGAAGACAAATCTTGTGACGCGCGAGTGGAGCTCCATGGTTCGGCGTAGAGCATTCTGATTGGAGGAGACGACGAGCGGAGAGAAGAGGAGAGGAGGGGGAATAGGAAAGGAGAAGAACGGGATGGAGAGGACGGGAGGGGAGGGGACAGGAGGGTAGAAGAGACTGACTTCACAGCTGCTGATTTCTCAAAATCGTCTTTAGATGGATGGAGAGTGTTAAGCAAGCACGTGTGCTGTGCACCCACTCTGCCCATGCCATGAGAGTGCCACAATCCACTCTGCCCCATCCTACCCCATGCCATCCCTTCCGCCCCATCCTACCCCATGCCATCCCTTCCGCCCCATCCTACCCCATGCCATCCCTTCCACCCCATCCTACCCCATGCCATCCCTTCCGCCCCATCCTACCCCATGCCATCCCTTCTGCCCCATCCTACCCCATGCCATCCCTTCTGCCGCATCCCACCCCATGCCATCTATTCTGCACCATTCCACCTCACCTTACGTATTAATCCCCGTCCTAACCACTCTGGCCCGCCCGATGTTCTCCCAATAACACATTCGCCTTTTTACTCCCACCCCATGATAAAAGTGTAGTTTTGAGACGTCTAAAAACTTCTCCCAATAACACATTCGCCTTTTGACTCCCACCCCCACCCGATTTCTGCTCCTCTTCTCCCGTCCTTCTTCCTCACTCTCTTTCCCCCCTCCATTCCGCCCTATCTCCCCCCTCACTTCCTCACCTGCGCATCTTCAGTCCGGGAGTCAGCCTCGTCGATAATTATCACCTTTTGCCTCTTCTCCTCCCCCGTCCCCCTTTGTTCAGCCCCTCCCTTCCCCTCCTCCCTTCCCCTCCTCCCTTCCCCTCCTCCCTTCCCCTCCTCCCTTCCCCTCCTCCCTTCCCCTCCTCCCTTCCCCTCCTCCCTTCCCCTCCTCCCTTCCCCTCCTCCCTTCCCCTCCTCCCTTCCCCTCCTCCCTTCCCCTCCTCCCTTCCCCTCCTCCCTTCCCCTCCTCCCTTCCCCTCCTCCCTTCCCCTCCTCCCTTCCCCTCCTCCCTTCCCCTCCTCCCTTCCCCTCCTCCCTTCCCCTCCTCCCTTCCCCTCCTCCCTTCCCCTCCTCCCTTCCCCTCCTCCCTTCCCCTCCTCCCTTCCCCTCCTCCCTTCCCCTCCTCCCTTCCCCTCCTCCCTTCCCCTCCTCCCTTCCCCAGCTCCCCCACCCCACCTCCCTACCCCCCCTCCCTTCCTCACCTGTGCATCTTCAGTCATGGAGTCGGCTTCATCTAGTATGATCACCTTGAACGGTGGACAGGGGTAGCCGCTGGTGGAGAGGGGTGAAGAAATAATGGTGGGCAAGGGGAGGGGGGTAGGTGGAGTGCCTTCAGCCACAACCTAAGCAACAAGCACCTTCAGTCATGGAGTCAGCTTCGCCGAGAATGATCACCTTGAACGGTGGACAGGCGTAGCCACAGGGGAGGGGGGTGGGAAGGAAAAGAGGGGCAAGGGGAAAGCGGGACAGGGGGAAAGGGGTGAGGGCCTTCAGAACAAGCACCTTCAGTCATGGAGTCTTATAGAAAAGAATGATCACCTTGAACGGTGGGCAGGGGTAGGAAATGCGAGCAAGGGTTGAGAGGGAGGGGAGGTTGCGGTAAGCAGGAGAAGGGAAGTGCGTTCAGCAAGAAGAATCCTCCGCCACCAAGGCAGTGTTGATAGAAACAAAGGGCATTTTGAGAGTCATAACTTCACTCACCCCTCACCTGCCGTTTCACCTGCCCTATCACCTGCCTGCTCACCTGATCCCATCCCGTGGCCCACAGCCACGCCAGCAAAGTCGTTGATCTTGGTTCGCACCACACTTCATTCCTCTTTTGCCTTTTCCTGGTACTACAGTTAGCACTCCTCATTGAACACAGCTCACCTCACCCTGTGATGTCAACCACAGGCCACAGATGTGAACCACAGGCCACAGATGTGAACCACAGGCCACAGATGTGAACCACAGGCCACAGATGTGAACCACAGGCCACAGATGTGAACCACAGGCCACAGATGTGAACCACAGGCCACAGATGTGAACCACAGGCCACAGATGTGAACCACAGGCCACAGATGTGAACCACAGGCCACAGATGTGAACCACAGGCCACAGATGTGAACCACAGGCCACAGATGTGAACCACAGGCCACAGATGTGAACCACAGGCCACAGATGTGAACCACAGGCCACAGATGTGAACCACAGGCCACAGATGTGAACCACAGGCCACAGATGTGAACCACAGGCCACAGATGTGAACCACAGGCCACAGATGTGAACCACAGGCCACAGATGTGAACCACAGGCCACAGATGTGAACCACAGGCCACAGATGTGAACCACAGGCCACAGATGTGAACCACAGGCCACAGATGTGAACCACAGGCCACAGATGTGAACCACAGGCCACAGATGTGAACCACAGGCCACAGATGTGAACCACAGGCCACAGATGTGAACCACAGGCCACAGATGTGAACCACAGGCCACAGATGTGAACCACAGGCCACAGATGTGAACCACAGGCCACAGATGTGAACCACAGGCCACAGATGTGAACCACAGGCCACAGATGTGAACCACAGGCCACAGATGTGAACCACAGGCCACAGATGTGAACCACAGGCCACAGATGTGAACCACAGGCCACAGATGTGAACCACAGGCCACAGATGTGAACCACAGGCCACAGATGTGAACCACAGGCCACAGATGTGAACCACAGGCCACAGATGTGAACCACAGGCCACAGATGTGAACCACAGGCCACAGATGTGAACCACAGGCCACAGATGTGAACCACAGGCCACAGATGTGAACCACAGGCCACAGATGTGAACCACAGGCCACAGATGTGAACCACAGGCCACAGATGTGAACCACAGGCCACAGATGTGAACCACAGGCCACAGATGTGAACCACAGGCCACAGATGTGAACCACAGGCCACAGATGTGAACCACAGGCCACAGATGTGAACCACAGGCCACAGATGTGAACCACAGGCCACAGATGTGAACCACAGGCCACAGATGTGAACCACAGGCCACAGATGTGAACCACAGGCCACAGATGTGAACCACAGGCCACAGATGTGAACCACAGGCCACAGATGTGAACCACAGGCCACAGATGTGAACCACAGGCCACAGATGTGAACCACAGGCCACAGATGTGAACCACAGGCCACAGATGTGAACCACAGGCCACAGATGTGAACCACAGGCCACAGATGTGAACCACAGGCCACAGATGTGAACCACAGGCCACAGATGTGAACCACAGGCCACAGATGTGAACCACAGGCCACAGATGTGAACCACAGGCCACAGATGTGAACCACAGGCCACAGATGTGAACCACAGGCCACAGATGTGAACCACAGGCCACAGATGTGAACCACAGGCCACAGATGTGAACCACAGGCCACAGATGTGAACCACAGGCCACAGATGTGAACCACAGGCCACAGATGTGAACCACAGGCCACAGATGTGAACCACAGGCCACAGATGTGAACCACAGGCCACAGATGTGAACCACAGGCCACAGATGTGAACCACAGGCCACAGATGTGAACCACAGGCCACAGATGTGAACCACAGGCCACAGATGTGAACCACAGGCCACAGATGTGAACCACAGGCCACAGATGTGAACCACAGGCCACAGATGTGAACCACAGGCCACAGATGTGAACCACAGGCCACAGATGTGAACCACAGGCCACAGATGTGAACCACAGGCCACAGATGTGAACCACAGGCCACAGATGTGAACCACAGGCCACAGATGTGAACCACAGGCCACAGATGTGAACCACAGGCCACAGATGTGAACCACAGGCCACAGATGTGAACCACAGGCCACAGATGTGAAATCCTCCATCTCAGTGCACACCACACTTCATCTCTTGTTTCTTTCCTACCACTCCGCATTCAGCATACTTCACCTGCCCGCTCACCCGACCCCATGCGCCACGGCCACGCCAGCATATTCTTTGATCTTGGTGCGCACCACTCATTCTCTCGCTTGATTCTCTTGTACCTTAGCACTCGTCCTCCGCATGGCTCACCCGACCCCATGCGCCACGGCCACGCCAGCATATTCTTTGATCTTGGTGCGCACCACTCATTCTCTCGCTTGATTCTCTTGTACCTTAGCACTCGTCCTCCGCATGGCTCACCCGACCCCATGCGCCACGGCCACGCCAGCATATTCTTTGATCTTGGTGCGCACCACTCATTCTCTCGCTTGATTCTCTTGTACCTTAGCACTCGTCCTCCGCATGGCTCACCCGACCCCATGCGCCACGGCCACGCCAGCATATTCTTTGATCTTGGTGCGCACCACTCATTCTCTCGCTTGATTCTCTTGTACCTTAGCACTCGTCCTCCGCATGGCTCACCCGACCCCATGCGCCACGGCCACGCCAGCATATTCTTTGATCTTGGTGCGCACCACTCATTCTCTCGCTTGATTCTCTTGTACCTTAGCACTCGTCCTCCGCATGGCTCACCCGACCCCATGCGCCACGGCCACGCCAGCATATTCTTTGATCTTGGTGCGCACCACTCATTCTCTCGCTTGATTCTCTTGTAACTTAGCACTCGTCCTCCGCATGGCTCACCTGACCCCATGCCCCACGGCCACGCCAGCAAAGTCCTTGATCTTGGTGCGCACCACACTGATACCCCTGTCGTCACTCGCGTTCAGCTCCAGCACCCGGGACGAGTATAGCTCAGGGCTGGGGGGGAGAAATGGATGGGATGGGACAGACACACAGTATGGGTATGACATGGAAGCGGTGGTTTCTCTTGGTGTGTGTCGCACCACACTGATGCCCCTGCGCCGGTCGTCACTCGCGTTCATCTCCAACACTGGTGACGGTGAGGGGTAGAGCTCAGGGCTGGGGAGGGGAGGGGGTGCCACAGACGGTATGTTAAAACACGCTCTGGGGAGGGGAGGGGGTGCCACAGACGGTATGGAACGGATAGACAGAAACGTCGTGGTGTGTGTGGCTGATCTTGGTGTGTGCCGCACCGCACTGATGCCCCTGTCGTCACTCGCGTTCAGCTCCAACACTTGCGAAGAATAGAGCTCGGGGCTGCACCCAGGAAGAGGCGGGTTAGAGCATGGGATGGGACAGACAGACAAGGCGTGCTGTCAATGTGTGGTTCCTCTCTCTTGCTGCTTGCAAGTGCGCAGGTGTTGTTCAACAGTGCCTGGATTGCGCGAGGTTACCACCATGTCAACGCAGCACTGTTACACCCAAAGAGATCCTCAGTGACAACCATTGGATAGGCCATCTTGCTCGTTTGACACACATGCCTGCTGAGCAGCAGCGAGCCACGAAGAGCCATGGCACCCAAGTCGTGATCACACAGAACCATTCACTCACTCCTGTCCCACCCGAACAGCTCTCCTTGGTGATCGCCGGCATTGTAAATTGTAAACGTCTTGCTTATTTGACACACACAGCTGCAAACCACGTAGGGCCACGGCATGCAACTGGTGCTCACGGCACGCAACTGGTGCTCTCGTTCACTCAAAGCCCCAATCGTTCACTCAAAGCCCCAATCGTTCACTCAAAGCCCCAATCGTTCACTCAAAGCCACGCCAACCAATCGGGCTCACCCAAAGTGCTTCTTGGTGATTGGATTGCCAGCACTGCGGACGTCTTGCCTGCCCAACAATGTTCAACACACACGGCACCACACAGGACTACACAGAACCACCCATTGTTCAATCAGAACAACTCATTTCTCACCCGAAGAGTTCCTTGGTTATGGCCAACGCTGTCGACGTCTTGCCTGTTCCGGGCGGACCGTAGAAGAGCAGATGGGGCAGCTGCAGGGAGGGGGAGAGAGGGTAAGAAGTGCGGAGATGCACAGGGGAATGGTTGATTGGAGGAGAGTTACGGACATGATCAGAGAGGAGGGGAATGGATCTGAAAGAGGGTTCACAAGCATCTGCATCCCTAATCTCATCTCGTCTACTGACCGCTCATATCATCTCACCTCATTTAATCTCATCCCATTTCCTTCCCATCTGTAGCCAGTGCGTTCTTGAGTGTCGTCACCACCCACGAAACTTCCCTCCCCTCCCCGCCCTCACTCACTCACTCACTCACTCACTCACTCTCATCATTCCCCTTCAGCTGCCCTCATCTCCTCCGATCTCACACTGGCAGCAACCAGCGTGTCTTGCGCGTCATCACCACCACCCACCCCAGCCATAATCCTTCTTCTCCCGGTCTCACTCACGTGCTCACTCACTCACTCACTCGCTCACTCACTCACTCGCTCACTCACTCACTCACTCACTCGCTCACTCACTCGCCCACTCACTCACTCGCTCACTCACTCACCCACCCATTCCCTCACTCACTCACTCACTCATCACTCCCCTCCACCTGCTCTCATTGAATCTCACATTGCCTGTCGCCAGTCGCCAGTGGCCAGTGAGCTGTTGAGTACCGCCATCACCCGAGACACGCGCCCCCTTCCCCTGCCCTCACTCAATCACTCACTCACTCACTCAATCACTCACTCACTCACTCACTCACTTAATCACTCACTCACTCACTCACCCCCCTCCTCCCATCTCACATTGCCAGTCGCCAGTGTGTTCTTGAGCGTCGCCACTCTATCCCCCCTTTCATCTCAACTCATCGCATCACATCCCATCTCATCCCCTTCTCACTCACATTGCCAGTGGCCAGTGTGTTCTTGAGCGTCGCCACCACCTCCTGCTGATGTGCCACGTCAGACACCTGCTTTGGGCGGCTGGAGGGGGGAAATTAAGAAGAGGATCAGAGCAGTGAGTCCCCTTCCATTGACGTGTGATCAGTCAGCAGAGCAGACTGATGCCCTTGCAAGGAGCAACAAGGCAGCGAGGCAGTCACAGAGTATGCAAGGCAGGTTCAATCCGAGTTGGCTAAACAAAAGAACAGAGGTTGCGGGATGATGAAGAGAAGAAGAGAACACACCCAGGAGTTTGTCAAGCAAAGGGGCAGATAAGGCAAAGACAACGCGAGAGAAGAACGGAGTCACCGTGTATCCTGTGCACACAAAGTGCAGAAAGCCGTTGGCTAGAAGCTGCAACCCACACACCCGCAACCCACACACCCGCAACCCACACACCCGCAACCCACACACCCGCAACCCACACACCCGCAACCCACACACCCGCAACCCACACACCCGCAACCCACACACCTGCAACCCACACACCCGCAACCCACACACCTGCAACCCACACACCTGCAACCCACACACCCGCAACCCACACACCCGCAACCCACACACCCGCAACCCACACACCCGCAACCCACACACCCGCAACCCACACACCTGCAACCCACACACCTGCAACCCACACACCCGCAACCCACACACCCGCAACCCACACACCCGCAAACCACACACCCGCAACCCACACCACACACCCGCAACCCACACACCCGCAACCCACACACCCGCAACCCACACACCAAGCCATTACACCACCAACCCTCATAAACCCCAACCCCCAAACCCCCGAACCACCATACCACCCCAACCCTCGATCAGCGCTCACTATTTCTCCACCCAGGGCTGGGTGTTGGTGGGTGTGACTGACACCATTGGCGTCTTACACTCACAGGTAAGAAGTCTTACACTCACAGGTAAAAAGTCTTACACTCACAGGTTAAAAGTCTTACACTCACAGGTAAAAAGTCTTACACTCACAGGTTAAAAGTCTTACACTCACAGGTAAAAAGTCTTACAGCAGCTCACGCCAACCTTAATGCTGCAATCCCCACACTCCCCAACCATCCCGCACACACCCAGCTCCCCCGGCCGGCACTCACTACTTCTCCACCCAGGGCTGGGTGCTGGCGGATGTGACTGGCGCCATGGTGCTGATGGTGCAGGCAGTGGTTGAAAGCGGTGCAAGGCGCCTTTAGGGCGGTGTAGGGTGGCTCGCAGGTTGGGGGTTGCACACTGATGGGATGGAAATGAGTGCGGAGTATGGATGGATGGATGGATGGATGGATGGATGGATGGATGGATGGACGGACGGACGGACGGACGGACGGACGGACGGACGGACGGACGGATGGACGGATGGAAGGACAAGCGGATTAATAGATGGCGGATCGGGGGGAGGGAGGGAGCGATGGATGGTGGGGATGCAAACGGCAAGAACGAGAACGAGAACACTGGTTCTTGAAAGCAGTGAAGAAACACGACACTGGTTCGCGCAAAACCCACCACCTCAGCTCTTGCTTACTCCCCCTCCTTCCCTTCTCCTCCTGCTCCCCTGCCTCCTCTTTCTCCCCCCTCCCCCCTCCCCCAAACCAGCCTCATCCCTACCTCTTCCTCACTCTTTCCTCCCCTCTTCCTTGTCGCTCTCTGCGCTGTGTGGGTGGCAGAGCGGCCGCAACGCGAGCGAGGGTGACTTGAAGCGAAGGGAAAGCGGGCCGAGGCGCCTCTAGGAAGGAAATTGACGCTGGAACGTTGTGGGAGGAATCCTTGAGTGGTTAGGCGACACTACGCTAACAGCAGAGCTTTTCAAAACGACCGGCTGCTACGCGAATATTGAGCTCCGATTATTTGTCAGATTTTAGCCTGGTGATTACCTGCTTCGCACATACGTGCGACCCGAATATGCTCGTGCTAGTTGAGGCGGGTTCGTTTTCTGCTAGTTCCGCACCGCAATGTGGTTACCCTAACCTGAACGGACTGTCGGTTCGGTGGTCGTGATCATTGCGACAAAGTTCTTGCTCACCGAATTTCGAACAGCTATCTTGTTTTCGCACATTTCGTCACTCAACTCCAATGTTCCGCGCACTCATTTTGTGATTTCCGTCTTTTCGTGGATCTCGAACCCACCGTGGTTTCGTGAATTCGAAACTGATCAGTTTCCTCCACCCCGATCAAACTGCAAATCGGGAACTAATGTAATTAGATCCTCAGATTTTACGAAGTGTATGTCAGATCACTGATTATTATCTTTGCGCTTACGACGAATAAATTCAGTCAGCGCTCACGGTGGGATCGTCTGTCCCCAATCATCCTAGTCTTTCGACCCTTCCATTCTCCCAAGAAATGGCGCTTCTCCGTATCGCGTGCCGTTCCGCGGTGTCAGCTACAGCGGCGTCGCTGCTGGTCGCCTGTCTGATCGCGGCGGCAGCGGGATCGGCGCAAGCGGCGAGCGCCGTGGCCGTGAACGGCGGTGCCGTGGTGGACGGCTACGTGCGACTCGACGGTAGGACACTCCGCTGTTTCCTCGTGTCCCTTTCATTACCATGATTCGATACAGTATCATGGTAATCACTGCCCGAGTAGCCATTGCGGGCTCCACCGTGGTGGACGGCTACGCGCGACTGGACAGTAGGACTATTTTTCACGTCGCTTTCCTCGTGTCCACTTTATTAGCATGATGCGGAACAGCATTAGGGCAGCCACGGACCTAATAGTCGTTGAGAGCTCCACCGTCTCCCTTTCTTACTTTCTTCTTTTCGCGAGCAAACTGTCTTTATTTCATCTCTCCCATCAGCTCTGAAGATCAAATCGACGGCTGTGAAGATCCTGATTAACGGTGGAGATTCAGTGGCGTTTGTGCGATCCAACGGCTACTTCTCCATGTAAGGCTCCGCGTCCTTCGCGTCATTTCTTCTGTTCCCCATACGATTTCCCGCCTTCCCCGCTGCTCTCCCTCCCCAATGCCCGCCCTCCTCGCCCTCCCCGCCCCCTCCGCCCTCTCCGCCCCCTCCGCCCTCCCCGCCCCCTCCGCCCTCTCCGCCCCCTCCGCCCTCCCCTCCCCCTCCGCCCTCCTCGAGCTCCCCGCCCATGACCGTGTGAGGCCAAACAACGTGGCTCATTTTCCCCTTTTCCTCCTCCCTTCGCCATCCTCCTATTCCGTCCCTCTCTAACCCCCTCCTCCCCCCCTTCCCCCTTCAACCTCCCCTCCCCTCCCCCTTACATAACGCCTCCCTCCTCACATTCCACCGAGCGCCGTGCCTCGAAGCCACGCACACATCCCATGATGCCTGCGAGGTGACTTGTGAGATGCCACCAAGCGTTGTGCCTCGAAGCCACGCACACATCCCATAATGCCTGCGTGAGGTCTCTTTTGAGGCGTGAGATTTCCCCTGGCGCTCGTTGGGAGTTCACTGAGAAAGTACCACCAGTCCACCGCCATACGCCCCCTCTCAACACACGTTTCCCACCGCCGCCCTCCCTCTGTGCACTCGCCCATCACATCCCAGTATCCCTGCTTGAGAATTCCCCCCTAACGGCTCGTCTGGAGTTCACTGAGAAAGTACCACCGCCGTATGGCCCCCTCCCAACACAGCACACCCTACTGTGCCCTGCCTCTGCGTACTCACACATCGCATCCCCTGATGCCTGCGTGAGATTTCTCCTGGCGCTCGTTGGGAGTTCACTGAGAAACCACCGCCGGCATACGCCCCCATCCCAACACACCATTCCCCACCGCTGCCGCCCTTCCGCCGCGCACGCTGCAAGTGGCTGTTGTCTGCTGTGCGCGGACGCAGGGCACTCACCACGTGCACTCAAACGCTGCAAGTGGCCGCTCCCTGCATTCCCTTCAAACGAGGGTCCACATTTGACTCCCGAAACCCTTAATCCTGGCGAATTGTTACTGCGGAAGAAAAGTGGCTGCACAAAATTCAGAATTCTCGCCAGCCAACACTTTCGCGCTGGCAATCCTGGTTCAGGAGTATTCTTATCTGAACCTCGAGGGACAAATGTGGACCCTCATTTGTAGAGTCGACTTCCCTGCTGGCTCAATCCCTTCGAGAATTGAGTCGACTCACTTGCTTCCTCCCCTCTCCTGTAGCCCCCGTACTCTTCCCCCCACACCTCCTCCATCACTCTGTTCCCCACCCCTCCCTCCCCCATCACTCTGCGCCCCACCCCTCCCCCATCATTCTGTTCCCCACCCCTCCCCCATCACTCTGTTCCCCACCCCTCCCCCATCACTCTGTTCCCCACCCCTCCCCCATCACTCTGTTCCCCACCCCTCCCCCATCACTCTGTTCCCCACCCCTCCCCCATCACTCTGCGCCCCACCCCTCCCCCATCACTCTGTTCCTCACCACGCTGCCTTTAAACTCACCTGCATTCCCTTCAAACGAGAGGCAGTTAGCCTCTGTCTCTGTCTTCGCGCCCTGCCTCCCTTCCTCCTCTCCTCAGTGCCCACATGCCTTTCCTCACCCCCTTGCCGCCTGCCATGCACACACTGCAAGTGGCTAGTCGAGATGATGCGAGTTTTGTCACCAACGAATTACCCTTTGTATGTACGCTTCTCTCCTCTCCCTCCCTCCTTCCCCCATCCTCTTCCCACACGCCCCTCTCCCAGCGCTCTGCCTTCGGGCATGCACACACTGCAGGTGCATTATCGTAATGCTCTGGAGTTCTCCCATGCACGAGTTTCCCTCACTGTATTTACCCTTAACCAACCGTCTGTCCGTCCTTCTCTTCCTCCCTCCCTCCCTCCCTCCCTCCCTCCCTCCCTCCCTCCCTCCCTCCCTCCCTCCCTCCCTCCTTCCCCACACACCCACCCCTCCCCAGCGCACTCTCTCCCGGCTCGCACACGCTTCAAGTAGCTGCTCCAGGGGCGTTCTTCCTGCCGGTAAGCCCAAACCATCTCTTCCCTCTTGCACGCGATCAGGTCTCTTGTCGACCTTCCGTGTCCTCCTTCCAAGAAGCAACTACTCCCTTCCCTTGCAGTGTGCTCGCACTCTCAAGCCAAGGATGTCCCCTTTCCTCCAGCCCACCCCCTGTGTCGTATCAGCTGCTCTGCTATCACAGGATATCTGTGGGCGCTATGTCATGTTTGCTGTTGTATTTATTCTGGTGTTGTTGGCGAGTACGGAGTGTGAAGTGTACAGCTTACCTTGAGGGGCTCGAATCGAATGACCACCCTGAATCACGGTCGGTCGGCCTGAACGGAAGTTAAAGCCACGTTCTGCACCTGCTCTTGCATTGCCACATGCCAAGGGGACACCCCAGGAAATCGGGCAGTTATGTTATGTCACAGTTATTCATCCGTCAACGCTTCGATCTGGTCGATATCTGTCTGTAATTAGTTTCTCAAGTACCCCATCTGTGCCACTTTCTTTTCTACTCTCTCACTGCCCTTTTTTCGGCAGGTCGTGCTGCAAGTCAGTGCAAAGCATGCAGGAAGCTTCCGAGCAGTGGTGATCAGAGAGCAGGGCCCTGCGAGTCTCTCCATTGATCCGCTCATCATCTCGCCCTTTGCAGCTGAAGAGTACTTGGAGGTGAGGCGGGCGGGTTATGGTTCTTGACAATTCTAATCAGGGGGGGCCTCCCATCCTGTCCCACCATTCAATTCAAGCCAAGGCTCACACGATGGGCTGCAAGCAATGGGCTGCAGGCAATGGGCTGCAAGCAATGGGCTGCAAGCAATGGGCTGCAAGCAATGGGCTGCAAGCAATGGGCTGCAAGCAATGGGCGCAAGACTCTCCATCGACCCCCTCATCATCTCGCCCTTGGCTGCTGAGGAGCATTTCGAGGTG